AACTAGTGCTAATTGTAACGGGGACCGTTACAGATGTTCCCCAAACGCTCCCCAACACCCTTTTGGTGCCATATTCCCTGTAAGCTTCATTAAATAAGACAAACTCTATGCATTTGAGACTTTAAAACGTTTACCCAAAAGTGTACCAAGTTCATTCAAATTTGAGCATGCACGCGTGCGCATGTGAATGCATGTGTGTAATGACCATATCATTTTGTCTAAACAATATTAAAGTATTTAATCCAAAAGTATTAAAAATACGCTCATTTAAGTGACTGTGTATTTTTGATTTTATTCATTTCACGTGCACGCACGTGCATACATGAGCATGGTGACCATACCTTCTTGTAGAGGTCCATTACATCTATCTATGTTCTAAATCCCACCCCGTTTGGTTGGAAACCAAGGGAGTTATAGCTGTTTAAAGTTTCAGCCAATCAGATTGCAGCGCACATACACGCACGTGTACGCATGTGCATATTGACCATACCTTCTTGTAGAAGTCCATTATATCTATCAATGTTCCAAATCCCATCCTGTTTTGTTGAAAACCAAGGGAGTTATAGCTATTTAAAGTTTCAGCCAATCAGATTGCAGCGCACGTGAATGCACGTGTTTTCATGATAATTGCTATATACCATGTTGTAGGATATCCTATTGCATGGCTATGTTCAAAATTTCAAAGGATTTCGTCAAAAAACAAGAAAGATATTGAGACTTTAGTTTCAGCCAATCAGAGCGAAGCGCACGTGCATGCGCGTGAGATCTTGCTATTTTGACCATGTCATATTGTCTATGGTTCTAATATATCCTTATATTATGAGTTTCAAAGCATTTCATCAAAAATGTAAAAAGTTACGCCTATATCAATTAAATCGGTCATTTCTCGTGTTGCACGTGCACGCTCTTGCAAGCACGTGCGCGCAAAATGACCTTCGTTCCACAAATCTACATAACATGTCTACTGACCCTAAAAAGGTTTTTCCTAAGTTGGATGTGTAGTTTACAAGATCACTCCCGGACAAAAAAGTACCCAGGAAGAAGAAGAAGAAGAAAAATAATAATAATAAGAAACAGAGTAAAAACAATATGTTCCCCAACTTCGTTTGGGGAACATAACAATAAGGTCTTCCGCTGAAGACGGAAGACCTTAATAATAAGAAACCGTAAAATCAATATGTTCCCAAACTCCGTTTGGGGAACATAATTACTTATGTAGAGTATGGAAGCCCTAACCCTAACCTTTCAGAAGTTATGGCCAAGGTTAATTTTCTTTTTAAAATTAGGTCAAACTCCATGGTCAAGGTCAAAGGGTCAAAGTTCTTGTTATCAAATAAAAGGACTTGTTACAAGAATTAAATATGTAAAATATGAAAGCACTAGCCCTAACCCTTTGAAAGTTATGGTCAAGGCTTGTTAAAGTAGGTCAAAGTTAAAGGTCAAGGTCAAAGTTCTGGGTATCCAATGAAGGGTCTTCTCACAAGGATTACATATATGAAGTAAGAAAGCTGTATCTCTTACCATTCAAAAGTTATGGCCAAGGTTCAGGTTTTTCACGGGTACAGAAATCTACAAGGTCAAGATCAAAGGGTCAAGGTTGTTGGTATCCAATGAAAGGTCTTTCAATAAAAAATACACATGTGAAGTATAAATGTCCTGGTGTCTACTGTTCAAAAGATATGGCCAAAGTAAAAGTTTAAAATTTTCATGTAAAAGTGGGTCAAACTCCAAGGTCAGGGTCAAGAGGTCAAATTTGGTGGTACCAAAAGAAAGGTCTTGTCAGAAGGTATACACATGTGAAATATGAAAGTCATGGCTCCAATAAATCAAAAGTTATGGGCAAGGTTAAAGTTTTTGCGGACAAACAGACAGACAGAGAGACAGACAGATGGACACGAGAAAAACTATATACCCCGAAACTTTGTTTAGAAGGGCATAAAAAGGGCTAACTTAAGCTTCTAACTTAGGTGAGAAAAAGTCAATGAAATATTCCCAGCTTAGCCATAATTGTCAAAATTTTAAACAAGAGGCCCAGGGGTCAAATCACTCACCTGACCATATCAGCTAAGAAAACACACAAATCAGATCAGTATTGAAAAGTTTACTGAAAAGGTGTGGTGGTGGGTTGACGACGAAATTTGACACCCCATCATTTCCATCCCTACCCCAAAGGGTACTCATGATTTGAACAAATTTATACCTTCAATACATGAGGATGCTTACATGTCAATATGACTGTGAACATAGCTTTTCTATTCCTGAGATTTTTCCCTTAATTATCCTATGTAAAAAATTGATCCACCATTGAGATCCTTACCTACCCTTGGAGGTTATGATTTAAACAAATTTAATTTTACACTACCTGAGGATGATTCCATATGAGTTTAATCTTTCCTGTCCCTGATAATATGGATCTTGAGAATTGAGATTTTTTTTTAAAAAAATTCTTATATATTCTGATGTAAAACTTTGATCAGTATTTTTTGCCCCACCCTTGCCCCAGAGATCATGATTTGAACAAACTTTAATCTACACTACCTAAGGATGCTTCCCTATAAGTTTCACCTTTCCTGGCACAGTGTTTCTTGAGAGAAAGATTTTTAAAAGAATTTTCCTATATATTTCTATATAAAACTTTGACTTCCCATTGTGGTCCTGCCTTACCCCCGGGGGTCATGATTTGAACAATTTAGAATTTACAGTATCCAGGATGCTTCCACATAAGTTTCAGCTTTTCTGGCCCAGTGGTTCTTGAGAAGAATATTTCTAAAGATTTTTCCTATTTATTTCTATGTAAAACTTTGATTCCCCATTGTGGCCCCCGCCCTATCACCGGGGGTCATGATTTGAACAATTTAGAATCTACATTACACTTCGTACAGTGTTTCTTAAGAAGATATTTTTAAAGAATTTCTCTATGTATTTCTATGTAAAACTTTGATTGGCCATTGTGGGCCCGCCCTTCCCTGGGGGTCATGATTTGAATAAACTTGAATCTACACTACCTGAGGATGCTTCCCTGTAAGTTTCATCTTTCCTTTCCTTTGGTACTTGAGAAGATTTTTAAATCATACCATCAAATTTTCACTATTTCTGAATTATCTCCCCTTCAATAGGGCATTGCCCTTCATTTGAACAAACTTGAATCCCCTTCACCTAAAGATACTTTGTGCCGAGTGTGGTTGAATTTGGCCCAGTGGTTCTTGAGAAGTCGAAAAGGTGAAAAGTTAATGACAACAATGACGACGACAGACAGACAATGGACAAATTTTGATCAGAAAAGCTCACTTGAGCCTTCGGCTCAGGTGAGCTAAAAAAATATTATAAAATACTTACATGTACGTTTGACAATCAGGAAGATTTAGGAGTTAGGACTACCTTGGTACTTGAATTCTGATCCTTGTGATGACAAGTAACTGTGCCTACAGAGAAACTCAGAAATGTCAGATAGTGTCTGTAGGTTCAATAACATTTATTTCTTTATCCCCTTGTCACTTTATTTAAAACATGTATTCTATAAATTAACAAAGATTATATACATGTGTTTACATTAAAGAAATGCAAAGATAAGCAAAAATAAGCTGAATGGTTAAGGTTTTGCTGCATGTGTACATGTAATAACAAAATTGTTATACATGTATAATAACAAACAATGTATACCTCAGGCTCTGCAAAAAAAAATTTCTCTCTTAGATTTTTTTTTTACCTGTTTACATGACTATCATATTTCAATAATCTTTGAGAAGCTATCAGTGTGGTATAATGGAGTGCCATGCATAGAACTGCTTATTACCAGTAAATTATACCTGTAAGTATAGAATAGATACAACATTTAATAAATATTTTCGAAACTTATTAAATAAATATTTTGTAAATATATGTACAGTACAACTCATTTTAGGGAAGTGACTTGGACTTTCTGTCTTGCAATCTAAATGTAAGTAAGCCTCTTTAAATCTGCATATATTTTATCTGCATATATTTTGGAATGCACACAGGTACTTGTGGACAGGATAGTGGGGTATTTTTTTGTTGAGGGGTTGAAGGATTTTTCAAAGGGGGGGGGGTATTATAATGTACATTTTACACGTGCATGTAGTTTAAAATAACTCAATAGGATACCGGGTGGAATATGGTTTTTAAAGGAGGAGATCGATTAAACTAGAAAAAAGTATTTGTATGGATTACCTGAAAAGTTTTTGAATAATATAAGGAAGGAAAATATTGATCTCAAAACCTGAGAATCCTATTTTGTAAGGGGGTCATTTTGTATTCATGACCAAATTTCTTTATACATTACAACATTAGCTTTTTACTGAACATTTTCTATGGTAAAAATACAAACAAACAAAAATTCGGAACTTTCTTCTTATTCTTTCTTTTTTTTTTGCAAATCCAAAGGGAGAGTTGCAACCCCAGTAGTTAGAATAATCTGTGTCTCGGGACAAGCTCACACCGGATCCGTAGGACATTAATTTTATCATTTAACGATATAACATTCTATCTACATCCCCCCCCCCTTTGGATTCGCCACTTTGTGTGTTATTTGATTGCTGCAGTTTAATTTCATATACCAGATCCCGGTGCAACAGGAATTAAAAACAAACCAAAACATTAGGTCTACCCTCGTTCAATAGGCCTTTTCAATAATATTGAAAGAAAAGCAGAGAACCTGTATCAAGCCCATCTTTCATTTTCAACACATAACGTTACCATAGATAATGTTAGATCCACTTGAATCTGTTATTAAGTCCATAAGGCACTTGGTTACAGGATGGTGTATTTTGTGCATTATGTGTTTTTCTATGTGTGCCTGAATACCCTCATTAAAAAGAAAAACTAAAAATTCGCCGAAATTAGCACGTTTTAAAACACACCATCCTGTAACCAAGCGCCTATGATTAAGTCAACAGATATTCCAAAATAAAGTTATTACATCTATCTGGTATTAAAAAAAAAGATGAGAATCTTACAAACTTACAGAAAATATGGAGTTGAAAACATTCTGCTGTTTCTTTCTTTCTGCTTTCTAATCAGCATGATGACGTAATTTGTGACGTACGGCATTCCATAAAAAAAAAACTAGCTTTGGTTCCATTAAAGTAAATTTATATCACTTAGTCATCAACATTCGTCTTTGAAGCGGAGATACATTTTCAAGGTAAAAATTTGAACGACGAAAATTATAAAAACTAAGGTATTTCCCGATTCTTGGATGAATACGAAACTGAATAGCCAGGTTCCATTTGCACTTCCTGTTACAGAGAAAAAAAAAACGAGTCAGCGAGAGCTCCCTTCTATGGTTTGTTCCAGACTTTCCTTCTGGATGATTGTGATCTAATTCCTTAAAACAATGGTAAATATGTATGCTTCGTTAATTGTTTGTCATATTTTGTGTTTATAATGCACATTTTTATTGATAATTCAACTTGCAACGAAATATTTCAGAGTAAATTCGGATTTCGTTCTCATTTCAGGTTCTACGTAACGCAGCCAGGTGAATCGAATGGTCTTTTTATGTTCAGTGACATCTATTTGAAGGTTTACTAAATTTTGAGTAAGTAATTTAAAGTTACAGTATTTTTATTTTAACTAACTGTCATTACAAGTCTCTACACAAATACACAGACTGTGTGTTTTGTTCTGACACATATGGACTTATAACCACAGGCAGCTTCAATAGACTAAGTGTATCCTACAAAATAATTTAGACATAGGATGATAGGTCCAACAAAAGGTTCCATCTTCTAGGGGATTAATCTGGTAATTTGGGGTCAATGGAAAAAATGTAACTATTGCATTTGATTTATTCACAATTGAGGTACTATTCTAATAATTTTATCCAGATTAAAAAAATCAATCTTTTCAGTATTGTACTGTTGTATGTAATTTATTAAAAAATCATCAATGACATGTTTATTGTCAATTTGTCATCCAATAGGAATATCGCAATTAAAATAATTAAAACATTTTATCTCATTTGGTTCAATAGCAGCCTGATATCAGGATATATAGAGTAGGTCAACAAGACACTGTATGTGTTAAAGTCTATTATGCAGTTATGAATGTGCTTAAGAACCCTCTCTACACTGCACACTAAAGAGTTCTGATTCTATGGTATTTTTTTGCAGTTAGAGTGATCTGCCCTTAGTTCTAAATTCTTAAAATTATAAATTCACAGTTTATTACACAATTTTTAATCAATTCATAACATTTTAAAAGGCCAAGATAAATTAATTGAACATGTTATTTACATGTATTTTCTCTATGGAAGTAAACAACAGTGATTTCAATTTACTGATACTGTGTTGTGTTTGATTATTTTTCCTTGGGGTTAAATGCCACACACCATATGTTGAAAATCATGTAAACAAGCTCAGTACTTACACCTTTATAGAATATATTTTTCTCAATATCCAAAAAACATTTTGTACTGGTGTAGAGAGGGTCCTTAACACATGGTCTTTTGTTTCGCTCTAAACATATATATACCATTTAACATACTCAGTAATACAAGTTGCCAAAACATGGACTTTTCAAGTGATATAATTGAATTCATTGTATTTAATGTCATCTAATTTAGAAATTGGCCCCTCTGACCTAAACAATTGAAATATTAGTATGGGAAATAGTATTTAATAATAATCAAAATTTCTTTGTAGGAAACGCTTGTCAGGACACAAGACTGAAAAAGACGTACTGAAAAACTGCCTGTAAACACAGCTATCATTAAAGTCAATGGATTACCTAGGAGCATCCAAGCAATATGATATCAGAGACTGGCAATTTACATCACTCAATGTGGCAGAAAAACCTAAATAAATATTGAAATGTTCAATTTCTTTGTTCATTGCTTTTTTCTCTTGTATATGAATATGGCATGATATTTATGTGAATTTCGCACAATTTTTACATGAAAAACTGATAATTTGGAATTCGCATGAATATCATGCGAAATTTTAGTCACATGAAAATTGCATGAATTTCACATAAATATTGTATGAGGGCATCCGCATGAAATTCGCATGTGGAACTTTTCGCATGGTTTTCATATGATTTTCGCACGAAATTCATGCGAAAAGGCAATCGCATGAAAATCATGCGAGCCACTTTTCCCTGTGTAGGTAGAAAATCCTGACATGATATATGAAAAGGAATATTTATCACAAGTACTAACCGGAAGTCACTACCACAATTCAACTCCTCTGACTCTTCTTGCAAGGCAGGAACACTGCAATAACATGGTGTAAACTGAAAACTTTCCTTTGCATTAAAAAAAACCTTAAGTCAGATTGAAATGTAAAATTCGCGCCATTTTAAAAACGTATTGAATGTTGTTATTTTTTTTAAAGATGATCAGTTGGGAATAAGAAAGAGAAGTTCACCTTTTCCTCAACAACGTATATATTTTTCTATTTTTTTTTTTTTAAATTAATCATATTATTTAGGTGATTGGGTTTAAAAATTGCAAAGCTTTTCTTTCCAAACCAAATATAACCTAGAGTTTCAATAAATAAGACAATACTGTATTTTTGGTTGCTTCTCGCTTTAGAAAATATAAATAGTTTTCTGAAACAGATGTTATTTTTTGCACAAATTAATTCATACCTTTTTCAACTCCAAAAAGAAACATGCGCTTTTATTTAAAAAAAATGAGCTCAAAAAGAAAGGACCAAAAGGGTCATAACATTTTTTTTAAATATTGTATTTTTAAAGTTTCCATGTAAAGGTTCCTTTTAAGATTTTATCGAACTCTTTCTTTCATTAAGAAATATATCCATTAAAATGCTGTGTATTTTAAAAAGAAATATATTATACACATTTTGTAAAAAAAAAAAAAGTCATTATCGAATACTCTCATTGCAATAAAGTTTTCAAATAATATAGATAACAGAGTAAAGAAATTTAAAACAAAGTATGAAAAAACGATTTTCATTACCAAAAGTCGCTACCACAATCCAAGTCCCCAAAGTCTGTTTTGTCTTTTATATCTTCTTGCCCTTCCATGGTTTGATTACTAAAAAAGAAATTGTTAAATCCTAGTGTTTTCCTGTCCTTTTGGCTTTAAAAAATATATATTTGTCTAAATACAATGTCAAGGGTCAATAAAATGAGTACTTGAATAGTTTACGGGGAAAAAACAAGCAAGAAAACCTTTTTTTTTAGAATTAAGTGAGAAACAGGTTTATTTTGTTTGATCATACCGGGGATGTTGATAATGCTGAAATTAACATCAGGCTTCAGTTTATTTAAAGAAAGGTAATGCATTTTGATTGAACGTTCTTTATTTTTAATGTATCATTTTTTTTAATCATTAAGGAAATAGTGCAAGGATGGTATAACAGTGAACACGTCAATGATGTATGCCACATAACCTATTTGTTGATATTTGTTATATTTACTTAATGCTATAAGATGTATGTCTTGGACAATAGAGATTATTTTATAAGTATATAATTACCAGAAATCGCTACCGCGATGCAGGCTTAAGTCGTCTACATGTCCCTGTTTGCCTGTTCCGCTTTTATTATTTAATTCCCCTTGTTTTACCGAATTTTCTTCTAATTCTTCTTGTATTTCTTTTTCACCTTTAACGTGTATTTTTTCTTGATTTTGATTCCACGTACTACCTTTTGTATGTGTTTCTGTTGTGGCTTTTGTAGAGGTTGTGTCCATTATTTACTTCCAATGTTTGGTCCTAAACATCCAGCTACAAGGCAGTTTTAATCGTAACTCTGAAACTTTAAGTCCTCAACAAGGAAAGAAACAGGGTTGTTCTCATTTCATTCCACATTTCTGGTAAAAACATCAATGATTTTAGATTAATATTGCATGCAAAAATACAATTTTCATTTACTATACATAATTTTTTTTTTATTATATTGATATTATAAGTTGATATGAAGTAAATATAGTTGCAAAAAGAATGTAATGTACATATATATGCCATCATCATCCGCAGGATGGGGCACATTTCCCAAACGGGATACACAAAACAAGTTCAAAATTTTAACCAAAACTGACCTAAAGACAGTATTTCTCGTATCTGAAAACATATTTCCTTAAAGTGACATAAAAGTATTATATTTCAAACCAAAGAATTCGTTTCAAATATGAGGATATCATTTTGTATTCTGTTTTGAACTTGAAGTTTGGCTTACTTTCCAAAAACGTTAACCTTTATCATGATGCTTGTATGTAAAAAGATGGTTTTCTCATATTGAAAATGTGTATGGCCTGTGACATAACCTTTCTAAGTTGTTTCTGGACCTCTTGACTTTCACTTTATACTTTACCTACTTTTCATTTAAAAAATCGAAAAAAGAGTCTCAAACATCAGTGTAAGGTAATGAGGTCATAGGCCATAAAATACAAATACTGTTAACTCTTAAATCAGAGCTACTTAAATTAGAATAGAATGACGCACTCGACAATATTGAGCAGCATCTATGATATGTGACATAAATGCACTCTTAAAAGACATTTCAAAATAAAATATTGAAAAGTGGTTGGTGTAAGCAATACCACAAAAATGGTTAGCATAGTAAAGGAATGCATACTTGCGGGTCCTACGAAAAAGAAATTCAATGAAGGAAACTAATATAACAATAACGATTAAATGGTGTCCAGAACGGCAGTCTCCTTCGGAAGAGAAAGAAGCAAACTATTGGAGCCGTGCGTTTTACAACTCATGCATATACGCAAATCAATGTTTTTCTTATATGAAATTTTATGTTCACCAAGCATCTTTCAACAACATTAAAATTTATCAGTGTTAAATAAAATTTATCACTTTGAGATATCTTTTTTATCATATTTTCTGAGATGTTCTTTTATTAACTCTTTACAATTTACTGAACTGTTATACAGCATACACTTGATGTCTACGTCATAGAAATAGAAATTTATCATTTCCTCGGCAGCACCTTATAACGTGGTACACGTTTCTCTAATGTTTAACGTAAATAATATTATGGCGTAATATTCTAATACAAATACAACTTTTCTTACTTTATGAGACATTTGCATATAATAGAAGGAAATTGGCATTAAATTTAAGATTAAATGTATTTTATAAAATGCATGATTGCGGGGAAAGGGTATACTCGTGATTTTGCGTCAGAAAGAGGAAATGGTATATGCGTTAAAATTCGTGACTGCGGGGACGGGTGTTAACTAATTTGATTTTGGACGTTCTGTCCATACCTGAATGGATGGTCACAACGCCTATAATAAAAAAACAAACAAACAAACAATAAATCAAAATATAAAAATATCTAATATTTCTTAACAAAGCATGTAAGATCTTTGAAAATGCCTTGACATTTGGATTGGGATATTTTTAAGAAATGTTAGTTCATAGGATCTCATTTAATTTAGTTTATGCTAATAACATCCATAAATCTATGGCCTGATAAGTCAATCATGAGTCTTATTTATGATGTTCTGTGTACATGAACTTGACATGATCTAGAAGGGCACTTGAAGTGATGTTTTGCAGGTTTTTTATAATAACACTTGATCTGCATATTTGATATAACAATCATTCGATCTTGATTTTTTTTTTATAAAAGATACGTTTACCGTGAACACAGTTCATTTAAAAATGCTATTAAGTTTCCTTTCATGGTATGATTTTTTAAATATAATCATTTGTTGTACAATTTACTTAAGTCTTAAGCCGTTTTAAACCAATTAAGGTTCATGGACACAGATTTGAAGTTAAAATTTTCTGTATAATATTAGGACTTATTTATTCTTATAGTTGTAGCCAGACCTGGGGTCAATTACTTTGAAATGTAATGCATTATATTACAATTACTTTGGAATTTTTATCATTACCATTACAATTACCATTACTCTCATTTAGAAAAGTAATAAATTAAATTACAATTACCTTGTTAAAGTAATTAATTACATTACACATTACATTTTATAAGAGAAAAACACAAAACGTATCACCACACAATTTATACCTATAAATTAAATTTCACGCTTTTTGCTCAATAATACGCTTTCCCTCAGATTTATAAATCAGAGTGGTATTTGGATTCTAGATTCATGTATCATGTTCATGTAGTTTACCAATCCAATCTACAGTTGACAAAGAAAGTGGATCAGAACACTTTCAATGTTGTAGTTTTGTTCAATATCTGATGTTAGTTTCTCTGTTGATTTTGTTTTTAAAATAAATGATTTATTGAACATTTTCTACTAGATGTTTATGTAAACTAATAATGCTATAAATGTATAAGGAGTATTAAAAACTTAATGAATTAATTAGCACTTCTAATTAGCTTAACAGGTATAATCAATGAAGCCATAAATTAAACACAACCAAAGGTGATAATTACAAGTACTTGGATGTAGGGTTTAAATTTTGAGATCTTAAGCTACCAAAAAATGAATGATGGTCAATATAACAGTCTATATTCATATTTGGCCTTACATGTACTTTCTCTTTGTGTCTACAATAAATCATACTGATCTTGTATCGTGTTTACCAGGTCCATTTTACCAGATTGAAAAGGGAAAAAGGAGAAAAATATAATTTGTATCTTAATTTAACTGTAAGTCTCACTATACCTGTATTAATATCACTTTTTTGTATCTTTCTTTAAAACCTGATGATTTCTTTTAATATTTTTCTTTGGTTCTCTTCAATTGATTTTACAATTGTCTTAATTGTCAAGAAGATGTCTATTAAAGGAATTATTTAGTTTGTCTATAAATTACCATTTAATAATATAAAAAATATTGTAGAATATAGGATTTTAATTTTAAGACTCTAACATTATTAATAAAAAAGTAACTTCTCCGTGATATTTATTTGTTTCAGATTCAAAAATAAAAAGAGACTAATATATAAAATGTAATTGAAATGTAATAATTGAAAAGTAATTGGTCATTACAGACATTTTTTTAAAGTAATGCATTACATTACAATTACTTATAATTGAAAGATGGATCCATTACACACTACACTCGATTACTTTGAAAAAAAATGTAATGATTACAATGCATTACCATTACACATTACCATTACCCCAGGTCTGGTTGTAGCATTTTACAAAAAAAAAATAAAAATTTATATCGTCTAAAAGTTATTGAAACTTAAGAGTTTTAGATGAGTCCATCCTGGCACTCTCACAAATTTTACTTTTATTATTAATACTTAGAAAAAGTGACAATCTTGTTGTGAATGTTGTTTAATGAAAATATTAAAACTTTAATCACGAAAATAATTATATTTAGAGTAGAAATGTTAGAAAACCAAACTCCTTCATAAGTATCGTCATTTCGAGCTAAGTGTTGTGTACAAAGTTTAACAAATTGATAAGATCCATGAAACGCACATAGCTTTTGAAAACAGGACACGAGCTCTGTAAGTATTGATGTTTACGATTCACCGGTTGGGTTTAATCGTTAAAGTCTGCTCATTACAAATGCACGGAATGACAATATATTGTGTGTATGTTTTGCTTTCAAATATTTCTACTCTGAATTTTCTGGATTATAATTTTGATATTTTTCTTTTATTCAAAACAAAATTGCCACTTTTCCCAAGTATTAAGAATGAAACTAAATTTTGTTTAAGTGCAAGTCAATCAAACCCGTGCAAAAATTTTAAGTTTTAATAACTTTTAGACTTTTAATTTATTTTTGTGTAAAATGCAATTAAAATATGTAAGTCCTAATATTATACAGAAAATATAAGCTTCAAATATGTGCCCATGTTCCTTTAACGAATTAATTACAAATGTGGATAGTTGATTCAAACTTGGATAAATCCAAATCTTTCCCGCTTTTTGCCCATCGATTGTATATTGTTTAACGTCCTTCTCGAGATTTTTCCATCATATGGAGACGCAATTTTGTCTTATACTCGGCACTCAGGTCCATTGAGAAGGGAGGGATCATTTTCATGCCGGCACCTACTGCGACACGTGAGCTCGGTTAAATAATACGGTCTACCGAAGGACCAGTCTCCACGTCCCACAGTGGGATTCAAACCTGCAAAGTAAGGATAAACTCCTTACTTTGCGATTCTAGAGCAGACGCGCTAACCAATGCTCCTCGCGGTTGAAAAAAGTGGAAATTTAAAAATAAAGATGCTCAATATATTGTAGTATGAAATATATGGAGATAATGAACAGTATTCCAGATCAGAAGTCCATAAAACATTACAAAAAATATGAGCACAGCAAACAAGGAACTCCGAAATATCAGAAGAGGGATCAGTTGCCATGGAGGAGTGAGCATCCCCTGCCGGCCAGTCACACCCATCGGTTGTTCCTTGTCTTGATAAGAAAAAACGGATATATCCGTCGTCAATTCAGTGCATAAATAATGGACGAACAATTGGTATAAAAAACTTCATTCAGCATTTGAGTCAATGATGAATTGTATTTGCTGACAATTTCATTGTCAAGAATTTAAGTTTAATGAAGAAAATCTTTATTCACGCATCATAATAATTCATCGATTTCTCATTCAGAATCGTATGTTAATGGAAGATTGGAAAAAAAACCTATCTGTTGCTTGCGAGGAAATGCCATCTAGATTATATATACTATTATTATCAATATCGTCATCATTTTATTTTTTCCTAAATATTGAAATGATGGAAATGCATCTTGAAAGTAAACTGTAAAAAAGAATCGGAAAATAGACTTTATAATTGCTTATCCTTTAAATATATTATGTCTTTAATCGCCATGCACGATTTGTAGATCTAATTTACGTATTGCATACATACGTTTGACCAATGATTACACATTTAAACAATTGAGACATGTTTCACAATC